TTGAACCACCAGCCTTCTGGTTAGCAGTCAAATGCCTTAGGCTCTATGCCACCAGAGCGTGTGTGTATAACAATTTATTGAGAAATTGCTTAGTACAGAACTTGCTGCTTTTATACAGTGTCATTTGTGTAGTAACTAACTCACTTCCTTAGTATCTCCCAAGTGGGGAGGATCCCAGGAGAGGCAGAGATCCTCCTTTCATTTGGAACATCACTGGGGGCCTGTGGTCAGCCTCTTGGTCATGTGGAATTTGAGAAAAACTATAAATTAACCCGAAGTTTGGGAGGTGGAGAAGAAATGGCAACTAGTAGGTTTTATGGAGTCTGAGCAAGAAACTATTCCAGAGTGGATCTATTTCCTCTGCCCATGCTTTCCCCAAACAGAAACCAAGTCCTATCTTAAGGGCTTGTCCAAGGCCACACAGCTAACTTAATGATGAGGTAAGGCCTTGAACTTAGGTCTCTTCACGCTGTTGTATTTCTGTAATATGCTGATTTAGACCAGCATCTCTCACACTTTAAGGCAGATTCAGACCCAGGAGGTTGGGGGACTAAAAGGCTGAATTTTTAACCAGCTCCCATGGGAAGCAGATACTATTGGTCTGGGGATCCCAGTTTGAGTAGCATAGAATTTGGAGCTAGACAGTATGTTTCCGGTCCCACCCAGCTCTGGTACAGACTGACTGACTTTAACTTCTTCGTGCCTCAGTTTCTTCATCTGTAAGAGTTTTCATGAGGATTTAATAACTTACTACGCTTTAAATGCTTAAAATTGCGTTTTCTGCGAACTAGCTATTATTTATTATTATATTCCCTAAAGCACGCAGCGAGTGACATAGGGTTTGACAAATTAATAAATGAATGAATGAATAACCTTTGGAGAAATTCTTTCCTTGGAGACTAGCGTTAGAAAAGGGAAATGGGAGGGCCTATTGGTGGGGAAGAGGCCCACCTCCTAGTTTGCTCCACCCGGTGGTCAGGAGGGCCTGGAGCGTCCGGAAGCCGGCGGGCTGGCGCCCCACGAACCAATGCGGCAGCCCTAGTGGAGGAGGGAGCGCCCCTGCTGGCCCTTTCGGTCTGGGGCGCATGCAGCCCCGCCCCTCGGAACGTTAAGACGTCCAAGCATTCCACGGTTGCTACATCGTCGCGAGGGGCGGGGCGCCTGTCAGGGAAGCGGCGCGCGCGCGGGCGGCGGGCGGGCTAGGGTTCTACCGCGCAGTGCCAGCACCAGCGCCAGTCCCGCTTTGCACGCTCTCCGGGCCACTGCTTGCGTTTTGGCTTGCGAGCTCTCACTCTTGTTCTGCCTGTGCGCTGCCTAAGTATGGAGTTGCTGTGCTGTGAGAATATCCGACACTCACCCCGGGCCGGGGAAGACCCGCAGCTGCTGGAGGACCAGCGTGTCCTGCAGACCTTACTCCGCATGGAGGAGCGCTACTTGCCCTGCGTCTCCTACTTCCAGTGCGTGCAGGACGAGATCAAGCCGCACATGCGGAAGATGCTGGCATACTGGATGTTGGAGGTACCTCTCGGAAGGGGTCCCCCTTGTTCCCGTCACTCTCACATCCCTGAATCTGGACATCCCGGGGCCACCTTGTCTCGACATCCTGGTCCCAACAACAATCGGCAAGATGCTCTAGCGGCCCAGACCTCTGGGGCCTGGTCTTTCATTCGGGCAACCTAACTGGCTGTCCCCGTATTGCCCCCTTCCTTTCCCCAACCCAAATCGGTTCCTTTTGACCCTACTTGTAGTCATTTGGTAACCTAAGGGCCACTCTCTACCCTGCTACGCCTTTCTGCTTCCCTCCCCCGCCCGGTCTTCTCAGGAAAGCAAGCTTGGAAAACCCTGGGCTTGGCAGCCTCCGCCCCAGAGCCGCTTCTTGTGTCTTGTCGCGGGGTTCTGGCGGGGAAGGCAGTGGGGGTGGCGCTCGCGTTGTTCCGGCGGACAGGGAAAGGAAAAGTGCGGGAGGCAGCGGCAGGAGTCTCCTCCCTTCCCCTTGGGTGTGTGCAGTGGGTGGTGGTAATGAAGGGAAGGTCCCAAGAGTGCCTCTTCCGTCCCCCCCTTGTTGTGGGGGATGGTAGTCTCAATTTGGAGTAGTTTGAAAGGGGCACGATTGAAGGAAGCACCCCTCTAACGCCTTCCCCTACCCCAGGGAGCAGGGAGGAGGTAATGCAGAGAAAGTGGGGGGCGCCACCTTGGGGAGGGTGCATCCTTTTCCATATTGGTCCTGTGGTCAATGATATATCCTTACTCCCTCTCCCATTTTTGCACCCCATTTCACGTCTCTTCAGCTCCCTCCCTTAGTGCTGCTGCCATTCCCAAGCCTCTGCTTCTGCAGTGACTGTGTGTCCTACCCCAGGTGTGTGAGGAGCAGCGCTGTGAGGAGGAAGTCTTCCTCCTGGCCATGAACTACGTGGATCGATTCCTGTCCTGCGTCCCCACCCGTAAGTCGCAGTTGCAGCTCTTGGGTGCGGTCTGCATGCTGCTGGCTTCCAAGCTGCGTGACAGCACACCCCTGACCATCGAAAAACTGTGCATCTACTCGGACCATGCTGTCTCTCAACGCCAGATGCTGGTGCGTACCTCCCCATCCCCTAAACATATTGCCATTCTATTTCCCAGAAAAAGAAAAGCAAAGGTCATAGAAGATTTCTGCCTCATAGAAAGGGAGCAAGACCTCAGAGGCAAGTGGAGGCTATATTTTGAAAGGAACTGGGATGGGGAAGAAAAATAGGGCAGCGTTATGGTCAGGGTAGTCCTAGCCTAGGCTTGAGCTGCCAGAGTGAATGAAACCCCCTCCTCCTGACCTCCAGGGGGCGCCACTCCTTCCTGGTCTTTCCCCCAGATAGCAGCAAGTCAAACTGCATGTCTCCACTCACTAGTACTTTGCCTCTGGGTTTACAAAGCCACCATGAGTTATTTATTGGCAGCAGAAGGGCATGCTTGCACACCCCCACTGGCGTGGTGGAGTGGAATGTGCTTTGTGTGGGGGAGGGGGCTGCCTTGGTTTCTTTATCCCAGGGTGGACTTTGCGATAGAAAAGCCTCCCAGAGCTGATTGAAGCCAGGCCCTGATTGCTTTAAGGAAGGGCTGAGGCGCTTCTTCTCACCTTCTTTCATTTTCTTTCTATCCCAGGAAAGAGCTCCTTCCCAGCCCTATAGTCCCTGTCCTTATTCTGAGGAACTCCAGCAGCTGCTTTGGGTCTGGTGGAAACATCTCTCCCTTTCCCCCTTAGCAAAGGCTGAGGGACAGAGAGAGAGCTGAGCTGCAGCTGCTTCCGATGTGATAATGATGCCCCCCTCCCCCGGCCACCCACTCTGACCGAGGTCTTTCATAACCCTGTGGGGAGCTGCTGTCACCCCTGTGGTTTGGGAAGTGGCTCCCTGGGCCTCTTGCTGGGAACTTGGACCAGGCTTCTCCTGAAGCAGGGCAGGAAAGTCACCAGGTTCTCTTTCCCCACTGAGCTTGGGGAGGAGATGGGCGAGCTGTTTGGTCCTGGAAGAGGTTATTTAGAGCATGTAGATCATTTCCTGGGGGATCTGGGGTAGAGGGTGGGTGAGCTGGCACCTTCCTCCACCTTGCTCTATGGGGCGGGCTGGCCAAGTCTTCTACTGACCCTGAGAGCAGTCTCTGGGCCCCATCTCCCGGGGAGGAGGGCAGCATGCAGTCTGCTGTGATTGGCTGGCGGGGAAGCCAGGGTACTGGGGCCCCCGACTGCTGTGAATCGAGGAACAGGATTCCTCTTCCTGCCAAGTAGCTCTCAGAGATGGGAGTAGGAGGCCGGGAGTTGGGAATCTGGGAGGCCCCACAGCTCTTTGTGATGAATCTGGTAGTTTTTGGCAAGTTTGAAGGTGGAGCTGGTTTCCAGGCCAGAGAGCAAGATGTGTTTGGAGGGGTTTGGGCTGGAAGGTAGAAGGGTACTTCCTTTCTGTGAAAAGACTGGGATTGTGTGTGTGTGTGAGAGGGGGGTTTTTCAGAGCAGGCAAAAGTACTCTTCCCTCACTTCCTCTGCCTGAGCCTGGGGGGTCAAGTGTGTGGAGGGCTTCCTGGGAGGTCAGAGTTGGAGGGAACCTCAAAGAACTCCAGTCAGTCCAAATCCTTGTGCAAGAGAAGGTAGAGGCCCAGGAAAGGAGAAAAGGGTCCTGCCTCAGCATTGCACTGAAGCAGATAAGTGTGAATCTGCATCTTCTACCTATACCAGGTTTTCTTGAACACCAGGGATGGTGTAGAAGCAGCTCATCCTTCCTCGGGGTATTCTTGGCCAAGGTAGGACGAGACTTGTCAGGGACTGCCTCTGTTACAGGGTAGGGTGTGCAGCTGCCTTCCCTTACACAGGACCCCATGGGCACCCCAGCAGGAAAAGCCCCACTCCAGTTGTTTTCTTGGAGGCCTGATGCTTTCTGTTCACTCCTGAGTTAGGAGTTTGACCACTGGCATAAGCACCAGGAGTAGAATTGTAGCTTTCCTGTTCTACTCTGCCTCTAGGCCAGGCTGTTTTCTGTTGGGCCCTGTGAGGGGTTTAGCACTTATTTGGGAGGATACCACCTAGGCTGGGGGCCTGGAAGAGGTTGGGTGGGGTTGCCATTTCTGCTTCAATAAGGGGTCAAACCCATGAGTTCCTTCCTGAGATAAAACAATGAAGAAATCCTCATGTGTGCAACTCGGAAATGGGGCCAGGACTGGAAACACCAGATGAGTGGATTGGGTGGGGCTCCCGGCCTCCCTCCAAGAACCAGCCATGGTTTGTAAGCATGGATTGGGGGGCTACAGTTTGGTCTCTTAGGGGTCATCTGGACTCATCCGGTGTGACTTGTCCTCTACCTAGCCTCCTGAGACTCAAATGGCCCTGGGCCACTTCTAGGTTCCAGTTAAAAGGGGTGGGTGCCATACCCCAGGACCTACCCCTAATGTCCCACCAAGGGGATGTGGGTTGGGTTGGGCAACCTCCCCTTTGAGGAACCTCAGGGGAAGCTCAGTGTTTGTGTCATAGGAGGGGTGGCCTCATGCTCATTCTGGTTTCTTCAGGAGATGTGGACTTGGTTCGAATGCAGAATTAGGGTCAGGCTAGTGGTGAGCTCCCCTTTCTTGAACCATTGAGGTCATGGAGAGTGTGTCTGGTTTATCCCAGAGGAAACTCAGGTTCATACTGATACTGGTGGTATCTGCTACTGTAGTCAATTTTTTAAATTATTTTCAACTCTGAGGGGAGTATTTTGAGCCCTGAATGAAATCAGGAGGACTAGATTATTGTACCCCCTGTCCCCCAAGATAACCAAAGCAGGATTGAAAGCGATCATCCACATGGAGCATTTAGTACAGGCACCTACTAAATGGTCAACAGATGCAAAAACAATTGCTCTCAGCTCTCCCTTCCCTTGAACTGCCCTCCATAGCATCAGTCCCTAAGCTTAGAAGCAGTACTGGGGTCCTGAGCTTCCAAAGTTTGATGGGCTTCCTTCTGTGTGAACTTGTCCTCTTACTCCCTCCTCTTCCCTTCTTTAGCCACTGATTTCACCTTCTTCTCCAATACTCAGGACTGGGAACTGCTGGTCCTGGGGAGGCTCAAGTGGGACCTGGCTGCTGTCATTGCTCACGACTTCTTGTCTGTGATTCTTCATCGGCTCCCTCTGCCCAGCGACCGGGAAGCCTTGGTCAGAAAGCATGCCCAGACCTTTTTGGCCCTCTGTGCTACGGGTAAGAGCCCTGGCATACCTTTTTGCCAAATCTGGAACACTGAAAGACTTGGAAGGGTGAGGTAACTAGGAGATTGCAGTTTATACTCTTCTCAAATTTTATGTGGGAAGATAATGTCCTCTCTGAGCCCCCCAAACTCAATACAAAAAGGCAGCAGAACATAACCAGCTGTGTGGAATCTCAGAGACCCCCAATATGTAGATGGGGAAGCAGAGAGCTTAGAGAAGGGAAATGATTTGTCAAGGTCTCTGGGTAAGTTGTGTTTAGAACTGAGTTTTTTTTTTACTCTAGTTGTGTTTTCACACCAAGGAAGGTCTCGTCTATTCCTTGGACCTTAGGAAGTTTGGTGTTTGCCTCATTCTGCTCCAGAAGTGGGGACCCTTTCTGCTTCCTCACTTACGGATGTCCAACATCAGTCACTGCTGGGGTTTTCCAGAGTGCCTCTGCTCTACTTAGGCTGTTTGGCATGAATTGGAAGCCCACACTTTGCTGTCACACTTGTAGTCCTCCTTGTTTCATGGTTCTCACTCTGTCTCCAAGATTACACCTTTGCCATGTACCCACCATCCATGATTGCAACGGGCAGCGTTGGGGCTGCGGTGCAAGGCCTGAGTGCCAGCTCCCTTTCTGCGGACGAGCTCACAGAAATGCTGGCTGGGATCACAGGCACTGAAGTGGTAAGTGCTTGGAAGCTGGGCTGCAGCTTCATGAAGCAAAGTTGGTTGTTCCTGAGCCTCCAGTAGAGGGAGTTATCCACCCCCTCACCCCCAAATACACCCTTGTCCCAACTCCTGGTTTCAGGCTCCCCACCCTTGGGGCTTCCGTGACTTTTTATCTCCTGCTTTGGTCTGGAGAAGACCATATGTCTGTGGTGGGGTAAAGGGCACTGGCCTCGGGTGCCCTTTTTTTGCCAAGTGGTGTGCTGGAGTGGGGGTGGGGGTTTGGTATCGGATGCAGGGCTGCTCACACCCTCTTGCCACATCCTCTTGCCAGTTTCTGAGAATTAAAGGCTGATTCCTGGGGCTAGACTGTAGCCTAACCTCCTCAGACTTCCCAATGTGCTGGGAGGTGTCCTTCCCCTTCACCTACTGCCAGATCGGGGGTGGGGGGGCAGAGTGGGTCATCCTCACTGTTCCCCCATGTCCCCAGGACTGCCTGCGGGCCTGCCAGGAACAGATCGAAGGTGCGCTCAGGGAGAGCCTCAAGGATGCCCAGCCCAACTCCAGCCCAGTGCCCAAAGCCCCCCGGGGCTCCAGCAGCCAGGGGCCCAGCCAGACCAGTACTCCCACAGATGTTACAGCCATCAATCTGTAGCCATGGAGAGGCCCCCTCAAGTGGCCACCAAAAGCAGAGGAGGGGACACTGCCCCCCCACCCCTGCTCACCAAGAATGAACGCCACGTCTGAAGTCTGAGGGGGTTCCTATTCACCCCTCTTAAAGCCTAAGGGGCCAAGTCCTACCTATCCCTGCACTGTGCACTAAGGGGCTGGGCCAGCCGTGTTTGGGTGGCTGGTCACGTTCCTCCTCCTCTCTGTATCTGAGCAACTCCTTTTCAACTCTAGCTGGAGGTCAGAGACCAAATTGAAACAGGTAAAATGCAAGCACCAGCATTCCTTTTTGAGGTCCCTTTCCCTTTCTCTCTGGGGCTTTCATGTTCTCGACTGCCAAAATGCCCCAGTGCCTTCTGAGGGTATTGCCCCTTCTAAGGTTATTGTATTTGGATTGGGGTCCTTCTGAAGATGAAATTTCAGACATTCTGATAGACACGTGTGAGGGGAAATAGTCTGGACAGCTTCTCTCACAGCTTTGGAAGCATCTGCATAATCCACGTTCACAGCTGCTCCTAGAGAGAAGGGCCTAGGCCTTGGGCAGAGGGGCAAGAACCAACAAATTCCTCCTTACTTTGCTTTTCCACTCAGCTTCTCCTGTTGATTGAGGGGAGTCGGTGCTGAAGGAAGAGGATGTTTTAATTTATTAACTGCTTTGAGTACAACTGTGAGGAGGGTGTGGTGGGGTCTGTCTACCCCGCAAGTGGTGGTGACCCTGGTGGTTGCTGTATCCCTCCCCTCTGCTACTGGCTAGAGAATCTTTGTGGCCAAGGAGCTGCTATAGCCTGAGGTGGGGCCATGCCCTCCTCTCCCTTTGGCCTTCTGCTCTGATGAGGCAGGGATGCCCTGGAGGTGGACGAGCCCCCTGCCTGGAGAGGGAGGCAAGCCCTGTCGACAGGTCTTTCTTCGGCCACAAGGTGCAGGCTGGTAGCTCAGGACCATCATGCTATCTCAATAAAGATTCTGGAATAAAATTGACTATGGCTTCTTGGACTGAATGGTTTTGCCTATTTCCAGAATGTGTAAAATAAGGTGAGCTGGAATCAGTCAGTGGTCTTACACCGAGGGGTTGGCGAACTTTTTCTGTAAGAAGCCAGATAGTATTTTGTAAGCTTTGCAGGCCATAGGGTCCCTGCCTCAATAGTCTGCTCTGCTATCCTGTGACACTACACTACTCTATGCAAAACCACATGAGAAAAATGGGGCTTGAGACATAACATAACATTGAAAAACTTACAATCAGTGACACATTTTTAAAAAAGAAACCAACAGGGGAGCATTGTTTTACATGTGTTAAATGGTTAAGAAACACACAAATATGACAATAAATATGGCCCTTCAGCTTGAAAAAGACCTGAAGTTTGCTTGTGGAAGTAGACATGAGAGAGACTGCATAAATTACTCTGAAGTGGAAGGAAATCAGAAGGCAAGTTAACAGCAGATGTGCATGGGTGTGGCTCACGATGGTGGGGGAACTGAGGTGGCTGGTTCATTTGAGGTATGTTTTGTGGACTCAGCTCAATTCATCTGAGTGCAGTTTTCTCCATCCACCTAGTGTTTCTTCTTTAAAATTTCCATTTTATCTTCTTTTAGGTTATTTTCTCTTCAGCTTTTAAGTGCTCAAATCCTTACATGGGCTTTGGTGGAGGTCATGGGGGAGCACCTGTAGGTCTAAATCGGTGTGGGGGTGTTCTGTCCTTCCAGGATTCACGAGAATGGTCCCCAACCTTGCTGTGAGTGGCACAACTCACACAATAATGTAGTTTCACATAAAGCATGGGAAGCATGTATGTGTCAGACATTCATTTGGGAAATGTCCCTGACAGCTGTTGCCTCTATTGTGTTTTAAATTATGAACTATGAACTTATTAGTGGCCTTGTCTTTGGGCATGCAGTGTGTGCATCTTGTACAGCAAGTAGCTGCACATGGCTGTGGCCTTTTGTGGCATGACTACCGTTCCTCATTTTCTTTGACATCTAGCTGAGAGGTCACCTAATGTTCTTAAGGATCAAATGGCACATCATAAGGATGCAATTTGTGTTATGATTGAACTGTCCCCACATATATCAGTCGGGTTGGAATATACTTGCATTTTCAAAAGCAAATGGGTGATAGATAGTAAGCATGGTTATACTCAACTCTGCCACTGTCTCACAAAAGCAGCAGGAGAAAACATGTAAACAAAGGGGTTTCTGTGCGCCGATAAAATTTTATGGACACTGAAATGCGAATTACATAACAATTCTCATTTGTCATGAAATTGGCTTTTTCCCCCAACCATTTAAAAATATTAACATTCTTAGCTCATGGGCCATATGAAAAGAGGCTTCAGGCCTTAGTGTGCCAAGACCCGGCTAAAGCTTTCATTAACCAACGCCTCGTTCTGACTCTGCATGTTACCATTCCTGGGCCTGACTCTCCTCTCTGGCCTTTCTTGCCCCTGTATCTCCACTTTCCTCAGGGAGGGAATTTCTCATCTAGCCCTTTCATCCACATCTGAGATATGACCGTTTTTTGAACCACCTTTTCCTGATTGATGGCATTCTACCAAAGTAGCCTGTACCAGGGGAGGGCAGAGAATGTGCCTCCCGGGGCTAACAGGGTAGGTGTACAGTGGGGAAACACACTTTAGAATAAGGGGGTGGTCCTATGTAAACTGGGTACCAATTCACTCCTAAGAGGGGCAAGGCAGAGCACTGCTGAAGAGGGTAAGCAGGAACAAATCCTACAACTACACAAATCCTACAGAGGTTTGGTATATACTTGGCTTTGTTTTTATCCACATCCCAGTCACTAGACACAAGAGGGCCCCACCAGGAAGTGGGAGTGTGGGGTGTTGAGTCTCAAAGTCAGATTTCAGAACTCAGAGGGACCAGGGCTTAGAATGGAAGGGCGGGGGGAAGAAAGCCAGATCCTCAGTCCTCCCTGTTCAGTTCTTGGGAGTTACAGGTGCCGTGTAACCCCTCCCTGCCTTGAGCTGAGTCTGTAGGTATAAAGGTTCACTGTCATCTTTAGCCACCAACAGGGTCCTGATGTTCTCCTAGGCTCCTTGGGCTAGGACAAGTTTCCTCAGTCCATGGCAATGGGGACATCTTCCACATCTCGGGGGACTGCGCTCTGAAGCTCACGCCTAACCTCAGGAGACAACTGTGGATGGGGCTGTAGCCGGAGAAGTTCAAGGAGGGCTTCTTTCTGGTCTGTGGCCAGGTCCGCCTTGTAGCGCTGGACCAAGGTCAGGAGGCACTGGTGCCAGAGCACGGGCAGTTCACGCTTCTCAGTCCGGAACCCCAGGAAGTGGAAAACTATGGCATCTAGCACCCGGTAGGGCAGTGCGTACTTCTTGTCCAGCAGCAGTCGCAGGAAGATGCTATTGGCACCACTGTATTCCATTTCTGCAATTTTCAGCATGGCCGCACTGGGGAGAAGGGAGGTAGGATGGGCTTAATGATGGGGGCAAATGTTGGAAGAAAGATTATACTTCTATATACTTTTCTCCCTTTTTTCCTCTGTTAGCTCCTATTCTATAGTATTCTTAAGAAGACTGCCTTAGGCCTTGTGCTCACCTACCTAATCTCATATTCCTTTGACTTCGATTACCATCTCTATACAGATCCATGGGAGCTCTGGTAGCATAGTGCGACTGGTAACCAGAAGGCTGGCGGTTCAAACCCACCACCCACTCCTCGGAAGGAAGGTTGGGCAATCTACTTCCGTTGTGATACTACCTCAGAAACCCATGGAGGGGTCGCTATGAGTTGGGTCCAACTTGATGGCACATAACAACAACAACATACAGATCCATTTCAAATCCTTACCTCTTTCTCAGTATGACCTCTTGTCTCAATATGAAACTAGAATATATCCAAACATTCCAACATCTCCATCTCTAACCTACGTTTCTGCCTGTGTCCTTGTCCCCTATTCATTGAATTATTCACAGAAAACTTACTACGTACCAGGCACTGCGATTATTTTTGTGAAACTTCTATTGTAGTGGGGTATTGATACCTCCCACACGTTGAGTTAAACAAGCACAAAGCCAGTGCTAGTCCCCATCCTGCCCCCGCCCCATCTAAGTTCTGGTGATTCTACCATCTACATATCCACTGACAAGTCCTTCTCCACCTCCCCCACCAACACTACCTGGAGTGCAAGACAGGGATGGAGCACTTGGTGATGATGCTACCCACAATGATGGCTTCCCGGAGGGTACAGGTACCAGACTCACACAGTGGGATCAGGATCCCTAGGGAGGATCAGAGGGGTGGTCACAAAGAATCCAGAACAGAGGTACAGTAGAAAGTGCTCCCTACCCACTCCAGGGACAGTCAGTGGAGCCTGGCCTCAGAGACAGCTATCTCCAAGTCAGGCCTACTGCAGGAACTCTAGGCCCTCCCTTTCTTCCCTGCCTCCTGGGCTCCCACCTTTAAACCAGGCTCCAGGCTTGAACAGGGCCTTCTTGAGTGCCATGTAGAGGTGGAAGTTTAGTCGTTTGTATTCAGCAATGTCATCTCGTACTCGGGGGAGCAGGACAAGGTTGAAGAAGCGCTGGGCCATGCGTTCCTTTAGGTTAGAGGCGAAAATCCTAGTTTGAAGGGACGGAGAGTTTCCAGGTCATAGGGTGATTTGGAGCCAGCCCTTTCAGTATCACTGGGGATGGTGTATGTAAGCAAGAGGCCTTTAAGTTAAGATAGAAAGCATTCTTTCAGCAAGAGATGTATGGGAGAGAGCTGTGTGCATCCAACCCCCAGGTCCACTAAGGGGGGAATACCAGAAGAGCAACAAGATGCACTAACACTGGGTGAATGCTGTCCACCTACGAGAGCCTACGAGAGTCAGAGCTCCCCCAAAGTGATGGCTATTCAGCTACTCGCCTTCCTCCTCCCGCTGCAGATCCTCTGTGCCCTAGTGGCCAGGAGGGAATTACGCATGCCCAGGAAGGCACCGACTCTTGTGGTCACCCTGACACCCCAGGGGTGTAGCCA